CGTCAGTTGGCGATTCGGGCTCATCATATATCTTACGCACACCCCCTCATTCGGCGATCCCGTTTCATCATATATCTTAAACACGCCCCCTCATGTAGCTTCATTCCGGTTCATCATACATGTCGAACACGTCCCCTCATTTGGCGGTTCCGGCTCAACATAGATCTTAAGCATGCACCTTCATTTATCATTTGGCGATTCATTTGAACCACGCCCCCTCATGTGGCGATCCCGGTTCATCATATACTACAATACACGCCCCTCATTTACCGAACGCGGTTCATGATACACCTTACACACGCCCCTTCATTTGCTGATCGCGTTTCATCCAAAATCTTAAACAGACACGTAATCATATCTTACACACGCCTCCTCAATTGACGACTCCGGCTCATCATATATCTTATAAACATGCCCTGTCATTTAAGCCAAGCAGCTATCCCGATTCATCATATATCTTAAACACTCTGAAACACGCCCCCCCGCCCCCTATGTGGCGATTCCGGCTCGTCATCATTACACCTTAACCAGGTTCCCTCATTTGGCGATCCCGGTTCATCGTATTTCTAAAACACGCCGCCCGCGGCCGCCCGCTGCCCGCAACCCGCGACGCGGCAAAAAGAAAAACAACAAACAACCCGCAATCAAACGTAGCAGCAGGCTTGGGGTTGCAGAAGTTATTGTGTTCTGGTAGAACCCACATGACGTGTTTTTCACTTTGCTCGGGCAAGTGGCTGCAAGTTGAGTTCAGCTTCGGCTGCCGCTGGACTGGAGTGGTCCTTCGCGCGCATGCCAGGTCTCGGCAGCCATGCCTATGGTAGGCATAACCATATGACGAAACATACACCATCTCGGTGTGGGAGAAAGATCAAGATCCTAGCGCTCCTCACAAACTGACCGCGCTCACGGGCCGCCTCGATCTTCCGGTCGGATCTGACGCCGAAGTGCTCACGTCCATTGCAGTTGCCCTGGCTCACGTCGTGTCGTTGTTGTCGGTCTCCTGGGTCGCGGGTGTCGCTAGTCTCCTAAGTCTCGGTCGGTGAGCTTGTCAAAGCCACGTTTCCGGATCTCGCAGCCCTGCCAACAGCTGCACAACGTCCCGGTTGCGGTCTTGGTTCCCCGCTCTCCTTGCCAGTGCATCGAGGAACGGAACTCCGTTTGCTTACCTCGTTGGCTGCCATCGTCCACCAAGCCAAAGTCGGCACCTCAAGCATAGGCTGCGCTCGTCCACGTCCCCGCTCAGCTGGTTGAACCGCTTCTGGGTTTAGGCCTAATGATGGAGTCACTTCGCACGCTTTCCTGATCGGACAGACGTGGGAGTGAACTCCAACACAATAAATATCATGCACCATGCTGACCAGGTCGGTCAGACATAATGCATGACATGTGCTAAGTGACAATTCATCTCCCACGCTGAGCTAATCGGTCAACATGACCAGCACCCCAAGCACCGGGCATTTAATTCGGTGAAACGGAAAATTGTGCCCCAAGTGACGCTGAAACAAACGGGCCACCAGGAAAAAGTTTGAAGCATGAACACACGACATGTAAGTAGAAGGCTCACTGCCCCCGTGCTGACACATACGGCTGAACGAACGACCAGTAGAAACAAGTCTGTATCCTTGGCTCACGGGAGGTACACACGCAATCCATCAATCCCGTCAGCAAATGGTTGCAGGCACGTGGACGTGAAAACTTATGCAGCTATGCACGAAATACCCAGAGTATCGGGTGCTGTCTCAGTCTCAAGCCATCCATGAGCTCTTCCACATTGCCGAAGTAGGCCTGCTCTTTCCGAGCCCGAGCTGAGAGAGCTGAGAGTCTGCAGAGACTCGGATTCGGCGGGCCGCGGCCAGCAGCGGCGAGAGGGTCGCAGGGCGCGGGGGCGGCGTGGGCGGCGCCTCCCCGCAAAAAGACCGCACACCACGGCCAGCTGTTGCTTGCAACTGCCTCCGGATTTCTCGGCATCTCCGAACTGTCCACGGCAGCGGGAGGCTCTTAGGAAGTCACCTGGAAACGAATCTCCAAGACCACTCTTATGACCATGGTCATGACTGGTTTCCGAGAGTCATCTGTGTGGCACTGAACCTCTCTTGGGCCTGAACAAGTGCCGCGGGCAAAGCAGCATGTCTCCAAAAAGATGGCCCGTTCCGACGAAGTGCCAACGCATCTTCTCTGGCAAGGATTTTTCCACAATGTGGTGCACGCTGGCTATCCTATCCTCTCGTCCCCTACTCTCAGTTCACGGTGAGACATGCTGGCGCAGGATTTCTATAGTCGAATGCACGCCAGGGTCCGGCAGAGGGCTATCATTGCTACGGCCCCCAAAAATCCTGCCAGCTGAAGTACAGGACCTTTGCCCCAATTGTCTTCTGTCTCTGCAGCGTTTGAACGCCAGAGTGCCGTTTGGCATATGTTATGCACAGAGCATACTCAAAGTCCGCGCTTCGGCGGCTTTTTAATAGGCCTCCACACACACACAAAAGGATCGAAAAGGATGGCTGTAAGTGAGTTAAGTGAGGTATGTGCTCTGCGAGCTCTTCTTGGCCTCGGGCCTAATCCCGCACCGCTGACCTCAAGAGGAGAAGAGAGATGCAGCACGGCCCCCCCCGTGTCTGAAACATGTTTGCGGGGGCCCAGCTTGCTGCCGCAGAAGCAAAAAGAGAAACCACCAGTGGGAGCCTCCCGCGGGCCAGGAGGCCAGGAGGCCAGGACTAGCTTTTGATTTTCTCGGTTAGCCGATAACTATTCTAGACCTGCCGAAAGCAGCATCTTCTTGACTCATCGTTGTCGTTGGTAGTAGGCCCGGCCTGATCGTCAGGCTGCCGCAACTCCGCTTGCTCAAGAGGCTCGAGGGTACCTCGAAACAGGTGCACACAGCGCTGCAGACTGGTGGACTCGAAGTGATTTGGGTCGCCTAACTCTCGCCCTTCGAGAAACTGGAAGGCATGGTCCTGGAGAGCAGGGGCTTGTATATTTGTATAATTGCAAATTTGTATATGCATATGCACATGTAAATCTACATGTATATGTATATCTATATATATCTATATATATATATGTATGTATGTATATATATATATATGTATACACACACACACACACACCCGCTCGTGAACATGGGCTCGAGCGTAGCAACCGATGAATCGCGATAAGATCAACGGACGATGCAAAGCTACTGTAGAGCTTACATTATCATGTCTAGTTCACCCCGACTGATGGTTTACTTTTTGCTTCATTTGCTGGGTGTGCTTTGATCAGAAAACTGACTAGTGACTAGCAGGAAGATCCAGGAAACTGTCCACTTTCTACAGGGACAGACGGGGCTGTGGGTATCTCGGTAGCTCCTCCTGGGGCCCAATCTCGGCACGGACATCTGCAAAGAGTTTCCGTAAGGCGACGTAATCGGGCCGCTCCTGCGCCAGGGCCCACAGAAGCCAAGTCCCGAAGTACGGCACTAGAGCCTTGAACTCCAAAGAGCGGGCTGTTTGCAGGTAGATCTTGAAGGCTGGCGGGAAGCCTCGGGGGCAAAGGGAGCGACTCGGCGAATTCCCCCCTCCGACGTACTCGGCGACAGCCAGATCTGTCTGTGTCTCTCCGCAGGCCTGCGCACAGCTCGTCAAGTGGAGTCTGCTCCTTCTTCTCACGGATCTTCCTGCGAGAGCGGTCCGCCAGCAAGGAAGCGCTGCCCAAGCGGAGTTGCCCCGTTCCCGCCGTTCCCGCCTGTACTTTTCCTCTTGGGTCTTGGCATCCAAGCCGGACCAGGGGAGGGATCCTGCTGCTCGCTGCTGCTCTGTCTCTGAAGAGAAGAGAGAAGACAGAGAAGACACGAAGAGTTCAGAGCGAGAGGGGCGAACGCGAAGCGGAGGAGGGGAGCCCCTCCGGGGTGTGTCCTCGGAGGAAGTACATCAGCATGTGGCCGATGGCCTGCCGCGCCCAGGGAATCTCTCAAGACTAACTCTCTCTCTCTCTCTCTCCGTGTCTTCCTCGGTGTCTGTCTCTGTCTGTCTGTGTGTGTCTGCTGTGTGTGTGTGTGTGTGGTCTCTGTGTGGTCTCTTGTTGGCTGGTTGTTGGTGTATGTCCGTATGTCGTACGTGCGCAAGTACCGTATGCATGTATGAATGTATGCGTTCACGCATATCAAACTGCCAACATGCTCGCTCGCTTGCTTGCGATTGTTTGCTTTCCTGGTTCTTTGTATTCCGCTAACGCCGCTTAGCTTCACGTGGGATTATTGCTCAGAGCCTCAGCATGAAAACAAATGCTGACATTTAACAATATTCTGAAGCAAATGCGCTCATTCACTCAAGACCTCACTTGTGTGACCTAGCCATTGCTTTCAGAAACAATGCACCCGCTTCAAACACTGCCGGGCCGAGGCGGACGACGCGAAGCGTGTAAAACTAATTCAACGTCTTCTTTTGATTGACGTTGCTAATTACTTTTTCATTCGCTTATGTATGCTCGCAGCTTTCCTATCTCAACTTTGTTTTGAAATCTGCACCAGGCACCCAGTTTCAGAGTTCTGTCAGAATGCAGGCCCTGCAGTATCCCTTTTGCACACCCAGGAAGTGCTCGGAGTGCTATGTCCGTCTGCTATGTCCTGCCATGTCCAAGCAGAAAGCTTCCGGTGCCGCTTGCGCCGCTCCGCAGATTCCCGACCCATCTTGCAAAGCACAGCTTCGGTTGGCGATGGAAAGGGTCCGCCTCCAGATCGTCGCGCCTACTCTGCTCGACGCCCTTGTGGGCATTTATGGACGCATACCTGGCTGATTCCGAGCACCGATGAAGGAGAGGCTGCAGCAGGTCTCTGTCGTGAGCCTGGCCGTCCCTGTGAGGCTGAGCTGCGTCCGAAGCGCTACATGCTTCTGGTCAAAGTACCTTCCACAAGAAACCCAACTCCGGATGCAAAGCACCAGGAAGCGTAAGCGGGGTAAGCGGCCGACTTCTTGCTGAGACCGAAATCGATCAGATAAAGGTGGTGCACCTGAGGAAAAAAGTGGGAAAGTGCTTCCTGGAAGAGGAGTCTAAAAGCTGTGGTTCCCAGCCCTGCTCTTGATTCCGAACATAAAGTTCTCTGGCTTGATGTCCCGATGGACGATGCCCTGGCGAGGGGAGCTCTCCTTTTGGGAGCCCCCGTCTCTTACATTGGGAAACGGAACGGACCACAACAACTCTTTTAGGGGAGAGAGAGAGAGAGAGAGAGAGAGATTTTCGTCTGAGTCTTCTTCCGGGCCGGCCCGCCCGCCGAGCCTTGCAGTGCAAGTACTCGATGCGCCGCAGCACTTGGTCCGCCACGAGGACCGCGGTCCTAGGGCAAAGCGCGCTCTGCTCTGCTTTTTTTGCTGCTCTTTTTCTTGCTGCTTCGCAGGCCCCCTCTTCTCGGATCCGCTCTTTCTCTACTGCTTCTAGAGAGCTGGGTGCTCCCGCTGAGGGTTGAAGCGTGGAGGGTTTCCTTGCCCTCCAAGGCCTTGCAGCCGGTCCTGGAACTTTCTTAATCAAAAGGCTGCGACGGCTGCGACGCTCCCTCTCGCCAAAGTGAGCAGACGTTGGCATCCGATATATCCTCGAGGGACTTGCCCAGCATCTCCATGACCAGGCACATGAAGCGTTGCTGGCGCGCGAGATGTGCGAAAGATCGGAAGCAGCGTAACTTCCAGAGCCCAAAAAACCCGGTACCCGTGCCGACCGTGCCAGCCTCCTGTCCGCACCAAAAGAGCTCTGCAAAGCCTTGAGGCCTACGTGGCTGAGCCATGAGCCTTCGGCACGAAAAGGGAGCGAGAGCGCTGCCACCGCAGAAAGGCCGAGCTCGGCGCTTCAAGACAGCTTGCTCGTGCTCCAACTGCAGCGCATGGCCCGAGGAGTCCTGTGGGCAGTCACAGTCAGGAGAAATTAAAATCAAAAGGCGCATAAAGTGGGCTCAGAAGGGGAGGAGCCCAGAAAGGAGGCGCGCGGGAGGGGATGGCTTCCCCTCCTCGAACTTCACCGCGACCTTCTCGTTGGTTTGTTTGTCCCTGCCCTGCCAGACCTGCGCTGCATGTGCCCAGAGTGCGTGATTTGCAGCACCGGAAGACAGGTGATGGCCTCCCCAAAACAACCTGGGCACTCACGGATTCGGGGAATTCCGCAATTGCACGTAGTCATCTGGCAGCTGCCTGCACCCAGCTTCTTCTCGATCTGATACCGGCCGTTCGCCACGGTGGACGGCGGCTTCGCACCTTGGAACAACTTCGCGCAGTCTCAGGTCACAGCTGGCGCAGAGCGCAGCTTGGGGCTCGGGCCGTTGGTCATTCTCCGTCTAAAAGGGGCCGGGCCCTGGAACGGGGAACGGGGAACAAAAAATTGTGTCAACATCATAAGAAAAAAAAAAGGAGAGCCGAGCCCCAGCCTGGCACGAGCCGGCAGCCGTTTAAGGCGGCCGGGCGCACACCACCGGCCAACCCACTCTCTGAGCTTCTGAGGGGTTTCGGAAAGCGACGCGACGTCCCGCGGTGAATGCGATCCCGTCACCTTCCCCCCTTTTTGGATTCCAGTTCGAGCCGAAAGAAGGCGCCAAGACTCATGCAACTAAGACCTTGCCTGTCTGCAGTCCCATCAGTCCCTCGGAGCCCGGAGGAGCCCTCTGGCCCTCTTTCTGGATCTCTGAGTTTGCAGATCTCCACAGTGCGGGTGAGACGCGAGCTCTGCTTCTGCGGCTCTTACTCTGAGAAATGGAGAGGTCGTGTAATAAGATCGCCAACAAAAAGGCGTATCTATGTAGTCACGAGAGCCTCGCGTTTTGATATGCGTCGCAAGTGTACATTAGCCGCATGAAGGATGAGATAAAAGGGGAGGGGTCTCTCTCTCTAGGCTTTCCGCTTGTTAGGCGTCGCCGGCGCCCTCCTGGGCCTCCTGGGCCTCGGCCTCCATCTTCCGCAGGTACCTGCCGCGTCGTCTCACTCTCACAGTCCAAAAGCGACTTCCCTCCCGACGATTCGCGGAGACTCAGAGTTTTTAGACCGCTCACATGGCCAGGAAGGCCATCTCGCCCTGCGGCGTCTTCAGAGCCTCGCGAGCTCTCTCCGGCCGAGTGCGCTCACCGCAGTTTTCTTGCGCCTGGTTCTCCTTGGACTTGAACCGCTGGCACTCGAAGAGTGCCTGGGGAGTTAGCAGCCGCGAAAGAGCCAAGGAAGAGCAGCGGAAGCGCGTGCGCGAGCGTGCGCGAGCGCCGGGGCCTCGCCCAGCGCCGAGTGGAGCCGCCGTGCGATGTAGGAGCGGATTCCAAGGAAGCTCGGCCTCAGCTTTTCGACCCCGAGACTTTGGGAGGCACCGACTACTCTCGGGTGCGCACTTCTGCGAGGCCTCCTCTCCAGGCAACACGCCCTCGATGCCACTCTCCTGCCCATCTCACCCCAAAAGCCACAAAACCCTTTTCAAAAGCCAAATCCTCTTCAAAGCCGCCAAAGGTCAAGCTGTGTCACGCCGCACAATATGCAAGTTGCTTCTGTGTTGATCCTCCTGCTCTGCCATGTTTGCATGACGACGATCTGATAATGCTCTCGCGTTGTCTGATTGTCGTCGAAGGGCGTGAGCCGTGTGCGACTCTCCTGCACGTGTTGGAGGATGGAAGTGATCTCCGCCATCTGGTCCTGTTGGCCAGAGGCAAGGGTCTGCGGTGAGTCTGCAGGCAATTCGTGGGCACGGGGGCCTTCATGACGTCGGAAGCCGTGCGCGAGCCTGCCTCCTCGAAAGAAACTGACGTGTCGGACTGTATCGGTGCAATCCTGACCTTTAAGCTTCCTGCAGCCATATAGCCATACATCCCTGCAGCCATGACCAACCCCCCCTGCACCTGGCTCTCGGCGAGTCGTTTCTGCTTCTGGGCCTTCGAAGGGCAAAAGGAACGGGAGCTGCGCGACATTGCGCGATGACGGCACCGAATGCACACGCTTCCGCCTGGTGCTCCTCTGCAGCTCTGGTGATGTCCTGCGGTCAAAACGGAGGGCTGGGTGCAGGACTTGCAGTGGGCGCTGAGAGGAATGAGGCCAGGCGTTTGCAGATGCCCCGCTGCCCCGCTCTCCAGCTTCACGTCCCAGGGCACCATCTCCTGCCATGACATAACTGCGAGAGTTGTGGAGACCTCTTAAAAGGGCTTGAAATTGCATCCGAGCAACACCGAAGCAGTCCACAGAGCTCAAGCTGGGCCTCTCCCTGCGCACGCATACTCTCGACTGCACCGCTCTGCACCGCAAAGAGTACCGCGCTCCGCTCTCTGCTCCGCTCTCTGCTCCGCTCTCTGCTCCGCTCTCTGCTCCGCTCTCTGCTCCGCTCTCTGCTCCGCTCTGCGGTGCCTCACGGCGGCGGTCAGCTCCTGGAGTAGCTTCCTCAGCACCTGGGCAGGGCCGCACCCTAGCGGCTCCGGCTGTTGCAATTTCAGTCCCCCCCCCCCTAGGCTTTACCTCTGCGCATTGAAACCTCCCCCCACAAGCCCCCCGCGCCTCAGCGCTCACAGTGCCGCACAGTGCCCAACCACACCTTCCAGCTTCCCGCGCCCCACGGCGCTCCTCCCTGCAATCCTGTAGTAGTGCAGAGAGCATGCCCAACCCTTCGCTTCCGGCCCTGCCCACAACTTAGTTTCCGAGTAGTAGTAACCCTTTCTGCCGGTCGGCAGAGCGCCCGGCCCGGCCCGGCCCGGCTCCAGCTCCAGCTCCAGCTCGCGGCGCAGCCCTTGGCCCCCGGACCCCACTGGCGCCACTCTGCTCCTCCTGCTGGGGCGCTGTCTCGTCCTCAGAGACGGAGCATTTTGCCAACAAAAATCATGTGCGATTTTCCGCGGAAAAAAGGGAAAGGGCAAGGGGCCCCTGAATCGTAGTCGTTCTCTGCAAAGAGCTGCCGCAGCTTCTCCACCTTGGAAAAAGCCAGGGGGCCCCAGGAGCAGACGCTGCTTTAAAACAGAGAACACTTAAAGGAACAAAACCCCAATTATTTCTCGCCTGCGCAGCGGCTTTGGCTTCGACTTCCTGCGACCGTTTTTTGTTCTTTATGCGCAGGTCCTCCACGCGCTTCGGCCGTCCTCGGGGTCTTCAACGTCCTCCTCCTCCACCTCCACCTTCGGTGCCTCAGAGGTTTGGGCTGTCGGCTTCCAGGCTTCAGACTCCCACGGCGAGGCAGATGCAGTGTAGTCGGACGTGTCGAAGTCTGCTGGTGCAAGGGTCTGCCGGCCGACGAAAAGCGTCGGGCAATCGCAGACCTCTGCGAGGGGGGGGAGGTGCTTCTCCGCAGCTGCCCTCAGTCAGCACCTCCACGCTGAGGACTCGGAGCCGGGAAGAGCGCCGAACCAGGCCTGGCAAAGAAGAGGAGAGAAGAGGAGAGAAGCGGAGAGCTTCCCCTCACGAAAGGCTGCGCCGAGGGGCCGAGAAGGAACTGGAGCCCCGTGTGGCCCACGGGATGGCAGTGCAGCTCCTCTCTTCGCAGAGCTCGCAGAGGGAGCGACGCAGGGCCCGGCAGGGCAGAGACTTCGGGGTCGGAACCGAGGCCTCGAGCTGGTCCGTCTGGCGAACCACCAGCGACAGCTGCGCCAAGCCTGCCGGAAAGGCAGAGACACGACACAACACACACGGACTCCCAGCAGTGTCACTTTCGCTGCGCTCGCGGGGGCGGGGGGCACCGTTGTCGTTGAGCTGGGAGTGCCGGAGGTCCAGGGCCCGGATCCGGCGATCCCCTTTCAGCAAGGCCGCCACCACCTCAGGAACATTCCGAAAGCGCCCTCCGCCCCCTCGGTCCCTCTCGGTCCCCCTCGTCTTCCTTTTTTTGGGCTCTTCCCATATACTCCCCCCATGGCCTCGGCGCCGGCGCTGCGCTTCAGGCCATGGCTGGCCCGGACCTGCTCAAAAACAAAGGCTAGGGAGGAGGAGGAGCGCTGCTGCTTCTGCTTCTGCGAGCTCTCAGCTCTCTCTCTCGGATTTGCGGCCGAAGCTGCCACCAGCCGCGCGCCCTCCTCTTGGAACTCCAAGCTCAGGCCGGCCTTCTCTGCCCAGAAAGCTGCAACACACAAGTTCAGAAAAGCTCTTTTCGATCTGCTCCTCCTCGAGCAGCTGCGAAGTTATCGCCGTCGCCATCAGCTGCTTCCGCCTCCTAGAGTCCTAGAGGACAACGCGACAATGCAACACCTGGCCAGCCGCTGACACGAACGGCTTGAAGCACCTCTAACGCTGCGAGCGCAGCGAGCGCAGCGAGCGCAGCGAGATGGCGAGATGGCGAATGCACTTGATGGCACAGACGATGTCACTGCATCATGGCGTTTCCGTAAGGCTCGGCTGTGCGGTTTCTCCTTCTCATCCCCACCTGCGGCCCTGTCCCCCATGCACGGAGCCGCAAACTGGGAGAAGGCGCTGCAGCGCGGCGAGGGAAACCACTGGACTCTCCCCCTATAGGCCTAGGCCCTTAGGCTCTCCCAGCACAGCTGAGCACAGGCGAGCACAGGCTGCTCGCAAAAAAAGGCAGCCCCCTCTTCTCTGCGCAGCTTTCTCCGGTCGCGTGATTTTCTTGTCAGAATGTCTTTACTCCTGCCTTGTCATACTGTGCGCGGGGCATGGCTACTCCTCGCAGGCAGGAGAGGGACTGGCCAGGTGGCACGACGAGAAGACGGAAAAAGCGCCTGGACTGGATAGAAGTGGTGGACCTTCACCCGCAGGTTCTCTTCCAGCTGGCCACTTTTCTGACAGGGGGGGAGAGACTGTATAAAGGAGACAGAGGGGGGGGGGGGCGGGCTCCGCTCCGGGCTCCAACCTCCAGGCGCGACTTCACGAACAAGTAGAGCGGGCTCTCAGCGAAGTGGTCGTAGTTGTCGCAGCCGTAAGGTGTGTGGCACCACAGGTAGAAGTACCTCCCAAACAAAAAGGCGACTATACTACGCTGCTACACACGATGCAGAAGTCGTTTTTTCTCTGGTCACCCCAGGCCCGAGAAGAAGGAAATCTGAACGTAGCGCAGCCTGAAGCGCAGTGCGTCTCGTGAGAGGTTCAACAGAGAAGCCACGCGGCCGAGAGCTGCGCATGAAACGCACTTTGTCACGGGAGAAGTAGGGGAAGAAGCGAAAGACCTCAGCTCAACCACGGCGTTTGGAGGTGCAAGCTGCGAACACCTGAAGCTTCCTCACGATGGTCTCCTGCAAGTCTTACCGATAAGGTCCACTGACGAATGCCATTTATTTGCCGGTTACACAGACAGGTTCCCTCCCGCCATCATGTCATAATGACCCCATTCCCATTGAACAGCGGAATGTCGTTGGGCTCCCATTTATAGGGCACCACAAAAGCTGACAGAGCTGTAGATGGGTTGTCCATGCCCGGCTGCTAGGGGTACCCTCAAGGCTGAAACAACTCTAAATGCGTTTTCCAAGCCTTGAAAAATGCATTTCTGAGCCCTGGAAGCGCTAAAGCATGTGCGGTACGAATTTCGTGGTGTGGGGACGGCATTGAGCTCCAGAACAGTTGAAACCGGGCCACATGCCACATGCATTTAGCAGGCCTCGGAACATGCATGTTTGAGCCTCCTCGGAGGCTTCGGGAGAAGACCCGGAAAGCGCTGAAATAGCCCTGTAAATGTGTAATCCAAACCTTCAAACATGCATTTTGGGCGCTGGAGAAAAAACTAAAGCATTTGCAATACAAGCGTAAGGTTTATCTCACATCAGTCGGCGAGAATACACATCACCCGAGTGTGGCTCCAGTAGCTGTGCTGGCAGGTCAGGCGAGACCGGGTTGGGACTCTAGGACATGCCGGCCGGTCCACTGCTCTGAAGCCTACAGCGACAAGGCCAGCCAAAAGAACACCGTGCATGGATGCTTCAGTGGATACATGTGCATAAAGTGGCGCCGATGATTCTTGCCTCCTCCATAATTGTTCAAAGCCCCTCAGAGCCACCCTAATCGCAACAGTGGTTTCCTGGCCGCCACCTTGTCACGAACCCTCCAACATGCGCCGCCAGTCGTGTTCTTCCCTCGCTGTTGGACGTGTAAGCTGCGGGCTGCACAGCTTTGATGCAGCTGATGAGCAGCACGGCTCCCTATTGCGCCCGCAGCTGATCTATACACCCCTGGGCATCGAGGCTTAAGAGAGCTGAAGTAAACCACAACACATCGACAGGCCATTCCAGAAACACCGCATGCCCAGCTTTAGCAAGAGAGGCTCTGGCCCAATCCACTGGAACGAAGGGGAAGCTGTTGATGCTGGCCTGGCGCGCTTGACCGTTTTTGTCCGAGGTTTTTCTTGCGAGATTCGGAAATCCGGGGCCTGGGTCAGGCTCAACGGCAGCGAGGCCCTCGTGGCGGCGCGGGCGGCGCAGGCGACACGCAGGAGGCCCATGGCGGTCAGAAACTCTGGAGCCCTTTCGAGGCGCTGCGGCTCCAGCGACACACCCAGACCCTGACCCTGTCTCGCGTCGACACACACACACACACGGACGGTTTTGCGCGCAGTTTTTGCCACCTTTCGATCAGAGTGCCGTCTCTCCCTCGCAGAGCAAGTCCACACTCTGCCGAGGCCGTGCCGAGGCTATGCCGAGGCCGCTAGGCGAGCCCCAGCTGCTCCACGGCGTCCTCGGGCTGGGACCGAGAGCGAGGAGATTGCGCTGCTACTTTTCGCGTGCACCTAAAAACTAGCAGCGCAACGTCCGGGTTCAGACTGAGAGAGAGGAGCGCTCTTCGCTTCGACGCGCGCAGTCCGTCCTTGCCCGTTGCCAGCTCCGCCTCGGAGCGGCGCAGAGTCCCTCCCTCCCCGCTCTGTCGGGCGCTGGGACCCAGGCTGCCAAGATGCCCAAGGTCGCGAACATGGCAAACCTGACAAAATAACGCGAAGGCTTCCTCGAGTTACTCGGCCCCGGCCCCCTTTTGATCCCCCTGCCTGCCATTGTTCAGTTCCCGGTTCCGGAGCTCTGAGAGATCTGCCCCGAAGGTCAGCATCTGGAAGTTCAAGGGGTCTGGCGCAGCAAACGCGCACACACACCCTCGCCCTCTCTCTCGGAGACGGCATCTATAAGCCGAAGAAGAAAGCGCCTCCGAAGTCCCCCACCTCTTTCGAGGCATCCTGTAGCGCTAGCCGCTAGCTATGAAAAAGAGCTCTCTCGGGGGCGAAAAGGAGGCGCACAGTCGCTGTTTTGGGGGCCCCGGCTGGAGTGCTGAACTCGGGCAGCAGCGCCACCCCGAAGAGCGTGAAGATGCCGATCTGCCCCGGCCTCTTCTTTTAGCTTCGGCGCTCAGCTCAGGCTCCTCAGTCCTCTTCTTAAGCTCAAGAGGCGCTCAGTCAGAGGCTCAGGGCTCAGAGGGGCTCTCTTTCAGCGACTCTCGGAGGGGCGGGGCCGGGCGGGGCCGGGGTCTGGGCACTTCGAAGGCGGCGCCGATGCCGTTGGGCAGCTCGTCGAAGACGGCCAAGGGAAAGCGCAGGTAGTGCCTCAAAAAGGAAGAGACGGTGACCGGCAGCCCCCCTGGCAGCCCCCTTCCCCTCTCCCTTTTTTTTGGGGCATCCGCTGGCCCACGAGGCCAATGGCCGCCAGCATCGCGATGCCTCGACTCTGCCAGAGTCCGCTATGCAGTCGAAAGCTCTCTCACCGGGACCCGCGCGGCCATGCTTCAGCTCAGAGGTGCGAAGCTGTCGGAACTTGATCTGGAATCACGGAATCAGCTTCGGTTGCTCACGGCACTAGGACCCAAGGAAGGACCTTGTCGATGCCGCTGCAGAAGCCTCGGGAGAGTGAGCCAGCCACAAAAAAAAAAGCGGTGCCTGACTGTCTCCCCAGTCTGCCCTGCCTGCTGGATCGAAGAAACCAAGGGGCGCTGTGACGCCGGGCTCTTCCTCGTCTGGAGCCCATGCGCATTGGAGACTCTCCAAGGCTCGCTAAGATGCTGGCAGCGGGGTCGAAGGGCGGCGCAGTGGACCTCTGCCGGCATCCGGCTCATCCCGAGCTCCGATTTTTATCGTCGGAGGGCGAGGAGAGGGCCTCGCTGTGTTGCGGGCTTTCGAGCGTGCAGCCGCCTTTGCCAAGGTCTCCTGCACCTCTGGGGACAAGGCCTGCAAAGGAGCCAGAGCCGAAAAAAAGAGAGGGGAGGTCTAAGGCGGCTAAGGAAGAGGTGGGCAGCCGTCTCAGGGCCTTGGAATCTTCCGCTTCCGCGGCCTCCTTCGCCTTCGCCTTCGCCTTCGCCTTCCTTGCCTCTCTCCATGGAGTACAGCGTTCGTCTGTACTTAGCGTGATTTGCAAGGCTTTGGGGTTTAGGGGGGGAAGTCTCGCTCTGCAAGGCCTGCGCTCTGCAGCGGCTTCGCCGGCCCCCTCCTGACCGAAGGAGCAGAGGCGCCAAAGGCACCTGGGGACACATCGCTTCTTCTGAACACTCAAAGAGAAAGTTGCTTAAAATCGAACAGGAGTACAGGAGGGTGTGCATAAAATCGAACAACCCCACACCGAGTGCCAAAACTGAAGAGGGCTTGGTCTGGGATTCCAGGCAGTGAACTTGTACGTGTACCATTAACCTAAACCGCCTAAACCTGAGCAACAGCATCACAAAGCAGAAGCAAGCCAGAGCACAGCAACATGACCAACGGTTCGCCAGCATCCAACGCAAGCAAGACACGGGCAAGACTGCAGGCACTGCAAGACTGCAACATTGCCAGACTAGCTGCATCCGACGGAACACGGTTGCAAACGGCTTGATTTGAGGATCTGGCTGCAAGGGCGAAGGATCTTGTCCCAGACAGCCTTTGCAATCATCAAAGCGCCCAAACGCGCTTCACGGGAACCCTTTCTGCAGGAACTGGGTGGGAAGTTTTGAGAAGCTTCGCCAAGGAGATCCCCGATTTGCCCATGTCACAGCGTGAAGGACCGTTCGCAGCCTCCGGCATTGCTGCGAGGGAATGGTCCATGTATTGCAATTTACAATGGATGGCTCTCGGTGCACACCGCCTCGCGGATTCGCTGTAGATAATAAGTTAACGCGCCAATACGAGAACTATGGACCGCACAACAGTGGTATCCCTGACGCAGCACGGGTTTTAAAATTAGGACGCGGGGACGAGATTTGAAATTTGAGTTGCAAGATATGCGTGACAGGACGCGGCCGCCGCGGCCGTGCACATGGCTCAGGCCCTCAGCTGCCAGCCTTGCTTCAACGGGCTTCTCCGACTTAGCTCGCCTGCCACAGAGAGAGATAGAGAGAGGGACGGCGGATGACGGCGGCGTATGCATGACAATGAGGCTGCGTATGCACCTCAAGTCGTGAAGCTGATTTACACATGACGGAGAGTGTGACAGCAAGGCAGTGCCATATATCGGCCTAAGCTCCTTTCCCAGAGAAGGAGCTGGTGTCCTTCAGAGAAGGACGTCTTGCAGGGGATTTTGAGGGCGTCTGGGCAAAGGCCTGCAGGCCGCGGCAGGGTTCCGGGCTAAAGCCCCCAACTCCAGCGCCATTGCTTCACGCTCTCTCCCTGATGGCTCCGCCCGCTCTCTTTTCTGCCCTCCATCTTACGAGAGAAAACCTTTACAGAGAGGCTCCGCTTTCTCTCTCCTCTTCTGCTCTCTCTTCTACTTTCGACTCTCTAGACTTCTCAGAGCCTGAAAGCTGAAACGAGAAAGGGGGACGCGAATGCGCTTCGATGCGCTTCGTGTCATCTCGCGACTTGCAATCCGCGGATGGAATCTGGATTTTTTGGGACTCGGCCGCAGGCTCTCCAGGAAAACGAGAATCAGCTGACTGCCCAGAGCACCAGCAGGCTGAGGGGCCCTCGGCGCAAGACACCAAGCTCAGCCGCCTCGACGGCCCGGCACGTCTGGGTGGCCAGCTGACACAGCGAAGCAGCGAGCCGCCCTTCGGCAAATCCGAGTCCTTCTCCTACGCCGGCGGCGAACTGTCAGCCCACCGACCCCCCGCTTTTTCTGCGTCGCTGCCGCCGCTGCCTCCTCGCCCGTCTCAGTCTCGGGCTCCGACTCCTGGTGCGGACCCCGCGACCTCCCCCACAAACCAAACCTCTTTTTGTAGGCTCCGCGCCTGCACGGCGGCCGCGGCCATGCTCCTGAAGAGAGAGAGAGAGCGAGCGAGCCGAGATGTCTCGAGGCGTGTGCCCGCTGCGCAGGGCACGCGGCAGGGAGGCCCGCGGAAAAAAAGAACTGGGAGCCGTGCACGGTGGCCTGGGCCGCTTGCTGCGCCGTCTCCACCATCGGCGAATCTGAGAGCCGCGACACACCACTCACACTTCCCCAGTTCACAGACGGTCCAAACCCAAATCTCGCCTGGTGAGGCCACTTTGCTGTCGGCAACAGGCTCCACCACAGCATCCTCGCGCAGAGAGAGAGACATTTTGACAAAGGCCGTCAGGCGGCGGAGCCTCCACCTGGACGGAGCCCTGGGCCGCGGAGGCGTTGTGGCGCTGCACGGAGACCACCTCGCGGCAGAGGCGGAGGCGTCCGGCGGCGTCCGGGGCGGCCGTGGCGGCCAAAGAGGTGCTCACGACGCGAAAAAGAGAGAAAATTGCTCTGCCAGGCCTTCTCGGCACTCGCAAGGCCTTGAAAGAACGTCACGGCATTCTAACTCCAGTCCACACACGACCGGTTTGTAATTGCAAATTGAATTTGGCATATATACTTCACGGACGAGGACGTCCCAGATGCACTGGGCAGGATCTAACCTATTCCCAGACCTGCCGCCAGACTGAACTCAGTTGCCTTTGTGGCTCAGGCCGGAGCCGTCCCCTTCCAGGTCGGCCACAGGCCTGATGCAGTAGACGGAGCCTTTGACTTTTTTGCTCTGGTTTCAAACCGGGAAGTTTCCGAGGTCGCAGCAGTATGGTGACACTGAGGCTGGTGGCGCGCAGCGTGAAGTTGGCACCTCGGAAAGAAGGCGACAGCATGCGACAGCCCTCGCCTCTCAGCGCTCCGAGCCGTCGGCCAGCGGCTTCCAACTGCCCACGGATCTGCCGGGGCGACAGCGCATCCCGCAGAGACGCATCCCGCAGCGGCATCCCGCAGGCGCAGGCCTGGCCGGTGACGGTGTTGATGTCCTGCTTGGAGATCCGCTCGGCGATGCCTCCAACCCCCGGGCCATTAGCCAAAGGCGGCTTTTGCAGAAAGGACACGCGCAGCGGGCTCAGGGTCTGGCCGGCGGCGGAGCCCTGCACCACCTGCAGCCGTCGCAGCCGCACTGCCGATGCTTTCCGTGCGCCATGGGTGCACATGGCACTGCCTCGATGAGGTAGGCCACGTTCACGTTGCCCGCGGCCTTGCGTCTCCAGAGGGCCAGAAGGATGGCTTTGGGGATGGTCAGGTCCACCTGCGTCTCTCTGATTCACAGCCATTGACATCTTATATCGGTCTGCAAAGGCCTTGACGTCAGAGACCTGGCAATTCGCCAATGCCGCCACGGCCTGTCGCCATGCGAAGAATCTGGAAGCTCACAATGAAGCTGTTCCAGGTTCTCTCAAGAAAAAAATAAGTCGTGGCACCAGCCATGCATGTAAAGACCGGTTTGCACCGGAAGGGCGAGGCCTTCATCATGGCGACCTTCACATCAGAGCTGGAAACGAAGCGGTCGGCGTCCTGGACGTCCAAGGCCAGATCACCTGCAAAGAGAACGGAGAAATCGAAACTCCCTGGTGCGCGCGCTTGTCTCGCCGCGAGGCCGAGGGCAGCACCTCCAACTTCAGCGAGGACATGCTTTCCGTCCTCTCACCCAATTTTCTTTTGAGAACTGTCAGAGCAGACGTCTGCGGAGCTCCTTGCCGGTGAAGAACGGCACCTCGACATCCAGCACACAGCACTGTCACCAAGAAAAACTGGCGGTTGATTACATGCTGGGCTTCCCCCACCGTGAAGTTTTTCGATGCCTCCTTGGCGAGCGAGATGAGAAGAGCGCAAAAAAAAGGCCCGGACCAGCTTGTGGGTTCCCGGGCCGTCATCGGTGCGGCCGCCGCTGCAGCGGAGAGGTTCCTCTGCACCCGGACTCGGGTCTTGAGCGCATCGTGCAACGACTGCAAGGATGGGCTCCTGATTGTTTCCAGCTCGCCTCCGGACCGGTCCTTTCAGAAAGCGCAGGCACAGGCGCCCACTTCCCGGGGCTGTGAGAGGTTTCTCTTTGGGGCCTTCATGGCGTCGTCGATGAGCTGCCGCGCCCGTTCCACCAGGTAGGTGTCCAAGGTCTGCGGTGAGGCCTGCAAAGCCTGCTCAGCCTCGGCAAGCAACTAGATCTTGCCCTGCGCGTCGTCCTTACACCGTTTACGTTACGACCATTTATGCCGAGCCCAGCGGCGGTCATGTTCATGTTGGCCAGCTGCGCCGTGAGGTTTGCCACCAGCATGTCGATAGCGGGACTCCTTGGCAGCGCCTCGAGGTGCGCAATGGGAACATCGAAGGGCGAGAACCGGTCGTAGTGACTGTGACTGTCAGTGCCTTCAGGACGTCCATAAGCTCGGAGAGCGTCGTGAGGCCGGGCGAGAGCGAGGCGTTCATGACGGCCTGAGAGGGCGCTTTTTGCCCCCCTCCCCCCCTTCCTGGCCCGAAGTGCGAAGAGAGAAGCCCTCGCGCCTGCACGGCTTCTGCCTTTTCTGGATGCTGGGCGATGGCGTGGAGAGCCTCCTCGGCCACCTCGTCCGCGGGCTCCGCGGGCTCGCGCTGCGAGACGTTGGACGAAGGGCGCTCCGGTGCCGGAGCCTCGGAGAGCAAAGCCGGACTTACACAGAACACTCTTCTGTGGGCCCGCGACCTCCGTCGGTTTGTGGCCAGTGAGGTCTTCGACCACCTCTGAAGCACGCTTTTCCTGCGGTAATGCCTAACACCCCCGCTCCCCATCGCAGCCTCGTCGAGCGTCTTGGTATCCGAGTCTCAGAAGCCAGAAAGCGGATTCCCAGCAGGCCCTTTTCGCTGATGCGAAAGGTCTGGGCTCCTTGCCATCGTACTTTTTCAATGCTGCCTCGAGTTGGTCTTTCGTGCAAGGCACCGGTGGGCCTCAAATCAATCAGAGGGGCTTTTTTCGGACTCTCTGCTCTCTGGACCTAAACCAAAACGGCCGCGCTTGTGGTCGTCTCCGTGGTCGTGGTGCTTGGAATTCCACGTGGATCCTGGCCGGGAGTGAACCCAAACAACCAAAGGACCTCGTAAGCGCACCGGTCAAAGGCCTTCACGATGCTGAAGTTCTTCAGCAAGTCGTCAGCATGCGGGATCTCCTGAAGCAACAGCTGCATCCATGGTTCGGGGCCTCTCGGGGCTGCCCGTCATGCTGCTTCCCGTGAGCGTTTGGGTTGTAGGCGCCGCCGCTGCCTCGGTACTCCGCAGCTGTCAGCACTGGAAGACTGCGAAGACTGAGAAGCAAAAGAGGCTGCGGCTCGATCCCCACTCGCCCTGCTCGCCCTGCTCGCCCTGCTGCGCCTGCGGATCAGTGTTGAGCCCACAATGCAACTGCATGCAGCCCCACTCTTCCTGGCCGTCCTGGCCTTCGCAGTCCCGGCCGCGGTGGTCGTCGGTGCCGTGAGCAAGGGGCCTACAGAGGGAAGAAAAGGGGGGGGGGGAAGAGTTTTCGAAACGGAGCTCTGGGCTCGCGACAGCCGGGCGTCTCGTTGGCGCTGCCGCAGCCCCCGGTCTGCATCATGGCCTCCTCGCAGGGCCTCGCACAGCGGCAGCTGCACACACTCTCGGAGCGGAGAGCCGGGCGAGAGGGGGAGGGAGCCGCAGGCGCCTGCCCCCGTAGAGCTCCGCACTCTTCACCTCAGCGAAAGCGGCCGGAGACAAAAAAGAGGAGAGAGGAAGAAGAAGAGGAGCGCCGGCGCTTCTTTGGGCTCCGGGGCTCGCGTGCGGAAGCGCTGGCCCAGGCCGCAGGTCGTGGAGCAGTCGCTCCACTCCTCCCACCTCAAAAATGATGCCCGCTCTCAGCTCCTCTGTCTCTCTCTCTCTCTCTCTCTCTCTCTAGAGGAAGCTTGAGAAAAACAAAAAGGGTGGGCCCGGACAAGCCGAAGCTGCAGTCCACCGGGCAGGGCTCGGAGTTGCAGAACTCCCGCGCCGTATCGTTGCCGGCCTCCCAGAGGCGGCTGCCAAGGGCCGCTCTCGGATTTTTTCCGAGGCCCCAGGCACAAGGGAGCCCGCCGCTCTGCTCGTGCTGCCTTGAAAGCGCTGCAAAGGCAGCGCCTCTCTCTCTCTCTCTCTCTCTCTCTCTCTCTCGCTCGCTCGCTTTCGAGCTTTGGCACTTCTTGCTTCGCTGCTTCACCCGGATGCCACCATCGCAGGTCACCGGGCAGACGCTCCAGTCCTTAGAAGGCCGCCAAGGGCAAAACGCACGCAGGCGGAGCCCCTCAGGTCCTGGCAGACCAATCGTTCCACTCGCAGGCCACGGGACCTAATCGGAGCGGAGGGTAAAGGCCCCAGCCAGGCCCCAGCCAGGCCTTTCAGAATCCGGAGACCCACATCTCAGGCTCCGGGCAGTCCAGCACGTTGCAGTCCGCCTCCTGCTCCGCCTGACCTTGGCTGCCGAAGGCGAATTAAGGGGGTTTAAAAGGAGCGGCGCCGATCCGACAAACCGACAAACCTACAAAAACCTCCCCCTTTGTTCTTCCGACAAACCGACAAACCTCCAAACCTTTTTTCTTGAGGCCCGTCACCGACACAGGGCCTCAGAAAAGGCGGGGAACTCTGTGAGCTGTGCTGCATAGACAACTGCTCACCAAACTGAAGATCGAGATCGTCGAGGTGCTCCCCGCCGTTCTTCCTGCGCCGCCCCAGACAACTCACAAGAGACTCTCTTTGAGACGCAGTCTGCGGTCCTTGGGATGGCAATGTCGCGGAAGCGCTTGATCTTGCCCCCTCCACAAAGCTTCGAGCACGGAGTCCTCGACAAGACCAATACTGAGCTGGTACGAAATCTTATGACTTCGCCTTCTGAAGTCGCCGGTGTACTCTCTCGGCTTCCGTGCCACAGCTCAGGCCGTGGAGGCGCTCTCTGTACCAAAAAAAAAGAAGCTGAGTCTCTCCGAGGCGCCACTGGGTCCATTCGCTCCACTGGCAGTCTCGCGGACCTCGCTTGCCGACCCATGTACATGCACTTTGCACCCCGCGAGGCACACTTGACGAAGGGCCATGCCAACTGTGGCGATGCGCGAAACGCGGACGGCGGAGGGGTTGGTTATGTGCTTATGATACTCTCCCTCATTGCGCGCCCACTCCAGGCCTGTCCAAGAGGACACCGCGTCTTCGCGATACTGATGATTCTCATCTGCTCGGTTGCGGCAGCGAGTGAAGCACCTAATCCGTTTGTTGAAGACTGTTGAAGCAGAGAAAAAGTGCTGCACACGATGCGCGATGTGCTGCATGCAAGAAGGGCATGCTGTTGCTCCGGGCCAAGCAGCCAATGCTATTTGTGTGGGCTGGTGCTGCGGGATTGCCAACATCTACCGGGCGTTCCATGTTCGAACGTACACAGCCGATCCCCTACGGTCGCAGCCGGAGGACGCACATGGTGTGCGCGTACTGCCCCCCTGCCCTTCGTGATCGAGAAAAGCTCATGGGACAAAGCACATGCAGAGTAAGGCGTGAGCAGCCCTGCGTGTTGCAGAAGTTGGACTCCTCCGCGTCGCCGGTGCAGGGCTTTCCGCCGTTGGACTGCAAAGGCCCCGCAGCCCGCAGCAGCTTGAGCTTTCAAACGGCATCCCTTACAGAAAAATGGATGGATGGCGCCGCCTCCGGCGCCTTGATGCGCTTCCGGGACATGGTCCCCGCATCGCAGGTCTTGGAGCAGAGGGAGAACTTGCTCCAGCCTGAGGAAGGAGTCCGAGTCGGAGCTCTGCGCTCTCAGCGGTTTTGCTCGAGGCTTTGGCTGGACCATTGGCAATCCACAGGGCAGGGCTGCTCGTTGCAGCTCTCCTTAATTGGAGAACAAGAAAGAGAGAGAGCTCTCTCGGCTCTTTAGTAGACGCGCAGTAAAAGGAGCCTTCGGGCCACTTGGCCGCGCGCCGTCTTCTGGGTCTTGGGGCCACCCGATGCGTCGGTCTCGCACTCCAGGCCACCTGATTTGGAGAATTTCTCTTAGCGACAACTAGACGCAAGCTTTTCGCTGGCCCTTGGCTCTTCGGATCGACTCGGCATTGCACCCCATTCCGGCGCCACCTCGACGACTCTCGTCTGCATCCTGCGGCTCCCCCCAAAGGACCTGCGCCCCACCGCGATCAGAGCAGCGACCCTCCGTCCTGGTGCCGCCACCGCAGGAAGCAGAGCAGCTTCCCCTTGGCTCCGCGAGGCCCTCCGCGAGGCTCCAGTCTGCGACGGCTGAGAGCAGCACCAGTCGCTCCACGGCCTTGTTCTGAAAACCCGAAAGCCGAAGGGCTTTCTGGCAAAAGCGACCTCCCTACTCCTTTGCTGCGCTCCGCTCCGAGCACCGAACACCCACTTGCAATCCACAGGACAGCCTCTAGTTAGCTAGGCATGCTTGACAGCCGGCACTGGCACTGAGAGCTCTGTCTGTGAGGCCTTGCACGTTGCAGACGCCGTCTTCGTCTGCGGATCCCGAGCAGGAGCGGCCGCCATGTGCCGCCGGAACCTCCGCCGCTGTGCCGGGCGCTTCCCGGCGCTGAGTGGGTCCGTGCGGCCTGCTCGGCGCGCTGGCGAGTGTAGGTGCCGCCGTTGCAGCTGCGGCTGCAAGCGCTCCAGGCGTCCCAGAGAGACCACCTGACCGCGAGAGCGACGAGAGCTAGCTCCGCTCTGCTCCGCTCTTCTCCGCTCTCTGCTCTTCTCCGCGAGGCCGAGGCTGACAGTCCACGGGGCAGATGCCCAGGTCGCAGGGGACCGTCTCGTTCCGCTTCGGATCGCACTCCTCGCCGCAGCCGTTCTCTTTAAGAAGGCAGGGCGGGCTCCAGGGGGCAGGGCGCCAGGGGCGGACCTTGCCGCCGTACGCGGGGCCATTCCGAATACCTCGGAGTCGTGTCTGCGAACCTGACAGGCAGCTGGCAGCTCTGGATGCTTGCTGCGGGGCTGCTCTTCTTTGCGGCCGCCCACCTTTTCCACAGGTCATGGAACACGGCGACCACTGAGACCAATCCTGAAAGATGCCGCAGCGATGTGAGACTGAAGCGGGCTTCTGCAGAGAACGGAACGACTGGGCCCCGCACTCCCAGCAAACAATCGACGGGGCAAGCCTCCAGCGAGCAGGCCTGCCCAAGCTGCGAGCCCGACATTTTGAGAGGAGAGGTGAGGTCACGGAGGTCACGGAGGTCACGGAGGTCACGGAGGTCACGGAGGTCACGGGACGGGAGGCGACGGAGAGGGTCATGTTTCGGGCTGCCAGCACACCCCCACGCTCAGGAAGTCCCGAAGGCTGATTCTTAGTTCCTCTGCCTGCTCGTCATCTTCGGTACCCCAGCAGACGTGGCCGCCATCCCTGGAAAGAGCTTCGGCATGACTGAAAAGTGCTCGCAACGAGGGGCCGCGGCTTCTCGTACTTCTTCCTCGCCCGCGTCCTCCTGGACACCTCGTTTAGACATTCGCTTTTTGTTTTCAGGCACACAGGTGTGTGAAGAGAGGGAGGAGCTGGGCCACGGGCGCCCGTTCCGCAGGTCACGGAACAAGCCTCCCAGTCCGTCCAAACCTGGACAGTAAACACCATCCCAGGAGACGGGGACTTCTCCCCCAAAATCTCCGTCGAAATGAAAATCTATATATATATATATATGCTCCCCCCCCATTGCCCTACCTTTGTTGG